TGTTTGTCAGCGACCAAATTGTAACTCCCTTGTCCCTTACGCCTCTTTGACATTTTTATCACTAAACTCCCTCTCTACTGTGGCTATTTAGATGCAAAACAGAAAATATTCCCTATCATCTTTCTGCAGCATAACTTTCCACAATTTACTTTCGCTGACCGTTTTGAAAGGTCATCTACCAGATCAATAAAACTTGTGCACACCTTATTTTTTACCATAGCCATCTGTGCAGTGTGATTAAGAATATAACTACTGTCCATAGTCGATCGACTAAAGAGCCTTTCTAAAACTTGCCGACCTATTCGGTATGATACCTTTTTCCTCTACTTCATACACAAGCCTTGACCTCAAAATCTCTGTATATAATTTATATGACGTGGGAAGCAGTGAGATACCTCTTAAATTTTTAATGCAACTAGTATCCCCTTTCTTATACAATGGTGTGACGATAGCTACCCTCTAATGTTCCAGCTTTTTCTCACAATTCCACACTTTTTTGAATAACATCACCAGCCTATAAAAGAAAATCTTGTCCATAATACTTCCACACTTTAGTGGAGATCCCATCTACTCCCAGAGTTTTCTTTTTATAAAATAATTAAATAGCTTTTTTTATCTCGGCCACTTTCAATTCTTACAACCCTTCCTTTCTCCTTAGCCACATTCCTTTTTCGTTAATAATCAATACCTTCAAATGATCTTCACACTTCTTAACCTCACTTCTTGTATCCTATGAAATTGTTTTCGTTATTATTTACAGAATTTACTCCATTCTTTTATTTCTCTTACATAAAGAACTTTTTTGACTCTTTCTTTTTTCCACTTTTAGTATACGTTCTCTACCTTTTTTTTCTTTGACCCACAATCCTTGTTCCACCACTTTCTTTCACCTAACTTCCATCTCCTCATTACAATTATCGTTCTCACTTGTAATTTATTTACTACATTCTTAATTTCTGTCCATACCATCTCCACTGACCCCCAAAGCATAGTACTGTTTTCTTTGCACAACTTCTCTACTTTTTGCCTGAAATTAGTTGAGGCCTCTACATCCCATGTATAAATGCACTTTCTTACGGGTTTACTCAGTTTGCTTCTAACTGATTCCACTAGATCCAGTACACGTAGGGTCATACACAAAGGCAGGTGGTCTAAGTCCACCCTGTCTGCAATCTTAAGACTTTAAATCTAGTTTAGCGTCGCATCACTTACTAGTACCTCATCCTGATTTTCCTAAATACTTACAGTTACATCTTTACTTTTTCTTGCAATTAATAATCTCATAACTAAGTCTATAAAACTGCATAACTTACCTTTCTTCATTAAAATTTCCTCTAATTACTAGCTCTACATTTTCATTGAAATCGTAGAAATAAATAAACTCTAATATTTCCCCTACTTCACCCAAGTTGTACACTGACCATACATTAACCATAAAATTACTAATGCTTAACTTACAATTAAAACATTACTGTTTATAACAACCTTAAATTTTTACTACTTCCTAATTTTGATTTTCTTATACCGATAAAAAAAACTCCAACTGGCCATACTCTTTCTACTTACTTTCACCTCCTCAATCTATACTTAGTCCATGCCAATTGCTTTCTAAACAAAATCTGTAGAGCTTATTTTCAAATGACTCCCAGTGTTTTTACTCCAATCATATTTCTCGCAGGCTAACACAGTCAAGTTTCAGAAATTTCTGTCTTGCTTAAAATATCCACAGAGTTTTAAACACGCACTCAACCTTGCTAGATAACTTGACAACAGTTTTTATTTTACTTGAGTTCGCTCCCCTCTCATTATCTTTTTCCCTAGCTCCTTCTATTTTAAATCCTTTAGGTACCATTTGATTATTGCTATCGTTTAGTGGGATAGAATTAGGTGTACGATTTAAAAAATTTCTTCTAACGCCGACTATTTTTCATGGATTCAGCGGTGTGGCGAGCCGCTCGCAAATCCCGGAGCTATGATGCAAAAAAGGACATAGCTTACTTAATATTTAAAGGAATACAAGTTATAGATATTTCAAAAAACGGTCCAAACTAGCACTTTTTAGCAAATTTTGAAAAACGACGGGACCGATTTTGTTTTACCGGAGCTTATTTTATTCGTCTTAAAATTGGGCATCTTTTTCACCCACATAACTTTTTTGTCCGACTTTCAAGTTTTCGTCTAGAAGCAAAATACAATTTTTGACCATTGTTACCATTCTTTTGGGCCGTTAGCTGATGTAATTTGGAGTCTAAAATTGATTAGATTTGTTTTAAAATCACTTAAGTATTACACAAATTTTTTTCACGTTATAATCAATTTTTCAAAAACGACCATGCTTTTTTGTTAATTCTATCTTACTAATTGTCCTTCCCCTTACCTTCATGCGCCTGTCGTTGATGAGATCAGCTTTCGGCTTACTTCACTATTTATACCATCTTCCATTTAGCCAGAAACCATCTCATATACTCCTTTCCCTCCCAGCTCCTGTTTACTTCTTACCCACGCATTTATTCTTTCTTGTCTCTTCCTATCCTCAAAATTCTGATCATTTTCGATAAAATATTTCAACACCTATAGTTTAAACTTATTTTTTAGCATCTCAGTCTTATTATCTCAACCCCCAATTTAATCACGATAACCGTTCCTTTGATGCAAATCGATACCACGAATTACAACGTTTTCTTGTCTTACTTTCCCATCTTAATGCTTGACAATATTTTTTTAAATATATACATCGCGTTCGAACAGCCGACTCCTTCCCGCACTTGAAACTGCGGCCTCCCCTCCTGTAATCGCTGACTCTGTACACGATCACGCAAAAATACCTTCGAATTGTCACAGCCGAGCACACACGCGACCACTCTCTTTCATGGTTACTAACCAAGACCTACTGAAAAATATATAAAAATTTTTCCCTTACACATTAAATAAGTCTCAAAATTAGGCTACTGCAGATGGTTTACGAAATCGATAGTGTAATAAACGGGTAACTCGGAAAATCATGCATCTGCAAAAATGAATGGTTAAAATCGGGTGAAAGGTTAATTACATGGCTCTGCTGAATTCATTGTAGTTAACACTTCTGTGTGTTGTATATAGATATATAAATGTGTATTCTAAAAAACAACTTTGTTTAACAAAACTTTATATAATAACTTATTGGTTACTTAATCGAGAAGCTAAGTAGCCGACACATTGATGTATTGACGTTAGACAAGTAAGCTGAAATATGTAACATCACTGTACGTTCTCCTTTTTTTAAAAATTATGAGTCCGAAATTTTATGAACAGTTGTGTCAAAGTTATATAAATATTAATATTATTACCAGACTCATTAGCTTCAATTGCAGGTGGCTTTGATTTTATTTCGTCGCTACCGACCGGATCCTACGGAACTAAAGTGCAGAGCTACCGTTTTTTTAATAAAACTTTAAGTTTATTTATTGCTATTATTTTTAATTTTTTCGGAAAAATAACCAAATGAAAACCATCTAGGAAGTCTCAAGAATCAGTACGCAAAATTTTAATAAAGTTGGTTGAGTAGTTTTCGTGGTTAGCGATTACAACATTTTTTAGGACTTTCGTTGGTGTATTACTGACAATGAGCTTAACTTTTTTCTTTCAATGTGTTAAGGCAGATTTTTTGCAGCTATTTTTGGTGTACTTCTTAAGATTTCTATAATTATGTAATAATATCATACTTTTAGTATTTCAAGGTATTGATTAACTTTACCAAAAATACTATCTGCTTCAAGAACATTGTACTGTTTAGAAAATACTAAATATAAGATTTCGTACAGACAGCATTACTCTTTGTGAAATCACGAAATACTTAAAAGATTTAAAAGTTTAATTTTGATGACAAGAGAAGTTCTTGAGTGACACCCTAGTTATAACGAGATTTTTTAAGTTTAAAAAATCTATGTATCTATATAAAATATGTTAAACTGTTCATTGTTATTTTACCTACCAAGTTGTCAGTTTTTATAACGCCATTTTTAATGTATGCTTTTCGGTGGTTGTTCGATAAGGCAAATTGATAAATAAAAATAGTATGGTCGAATTATGATTTAATGATTTAAAAAAAATACAAGTTATTCCACTTTTGATACAATTATAAGGAATAACCTGAACTTGGGGTGCGTCCGAGAAGCTAATAATTTATACTAAGAGTTTTTTTCTGTTGGAAAAATGTTCATTACGCGTGCATTTTAAGATGGCTTAAAGGTTGTGCAAATAATATCTATATGTTTTACTCGTCTTTTCTCGACATTACCTGACTAATTTTTTATTTTTTTCACTCTTCTTTGTTTCTTATTTACTGCCTCTCGGTACTTGGGATGATGAATAGTATAGGCGCGTACATATTTGCCTACCTTATTGTGAATAATATAAATATAATGAAAAGTTTTAAAGATGTAGAAATCAGGAATGAGTAATCCGTAGAAGGTGAGGTAGAAAATGTCAGCATTAAAAATCTTCTATAATAAAGGTCTTTGACGTATACGTCAAATATTTGCGGTGACCCAATAAACACAGAAAGGTTAAGCAAAAAAACAGAAAAGAGAGGGATCCAAACACGTTTTATCCTAGATGATTAGCTGGACTTATTAGGATGTAATTTTTGCGTATGATACGCATTTGCATACCAGTGATGTATACAAAATGAAGAATTTTCCGCATCATTAATAAGAGAGTGTTTTTAATTAAAAGTTTTCTAATTAAAAAAAAATTTGAAGGTTTACATTATTTTAAGAAATAAGTATATTTAAGAATTTTAAATATACTCGTGCGTAGAAAATTCTTTTAATGTATTACTTATTAAACTTTTCTTTTGAAAAGGGTTTCTAAGGACAAGAGTTTTTATCATAGTAATAGATATTTTTCTAACCATCATGATAGTTTTTCAATTGTGATCTAATCGACTAGATTCATTTAAAATTTTCAAGGATTATAATGTTATCATATTACTAAAACATTTTAAGTTACTTATGATGACATTAGTTAGAACTGAATTATTTATTTTTAATCCAACAAACGGAAAAGTGTATCTCTATTTTTCCTGTATAAATTCCTGTACAATCATAAATGTATTATCTAACTGAAATCAAGCGTCAACTTGGATTTTTCCAATTTCTTTATGAGTAATATTAGCTAAAAGTTTTTTTATCTCAGCAATTGCTTTTCCAGGATTCAGACCCTGAAATGAAAAAAATTATACTTTTTTAATTCTTATAACGGTAACTTATAAATCAGGAATATGTTACGAAATTTTTTGGAAGTAAAATTGCAACAAAAGAAATTCACACGTATAAAAATAATGTTAAACTAGATTTCAAAAAATATGTTAGAAAAAAATATACATTTGATAATATTGGTTTTAAAAAAATAAAAAAAACCTCATTAAGGAGGTAACTTACAAGGAATCGTATAATCTCAGATATTACGTACTTATCTCTAGTCCCCAGAGGTTATTTTTAGTATTTACCCAGAATTTTCAGATGTTTTTTAAAATTCCTTAAGAAGTATTAACATAGTATTTTCTTTTGGAAAATTAGTAAATTTCAAAATAGACAGCTTAATTGCCATTAGTGATAATTCAACAAGAACTCTAGTAGAGAACTTGCATGCAGCAGGTTTCAGTCAACTAATACTGTATATCGCTAGCGTAACGTCAATTGAACATGTATGAGTTACAATATCACCAATAAATAGTGCATAGATCAAGAAATTGGATATTTTCCGAGCACGTTATTCAAGCTCTCATGTAAATAGATATCACGTAATAGTGACGTAAGAACTCCTGAATTTTTAAGGTTTACTCGACTTGCCGTTAATGACGTCAGGTATTGCTTAGAGACGTCATTGTTCTTCATTGGAATACGCTTCACTCGAAGCAGACAGCAAACTGTTTTTGTTTACTGAAAGAGTTGTTTATACTTGGAGTATCAGTACTAAAGTCATCAGAAATCCAAGATTTATTAAAGGGACATCCGAAAATCTACTAAAAGTAGATTTAGATATGATGTTAAATTTTATTTATTCCAACGAGTGCTATGGAAGCATGGAAATGCGTTGAGTAATAACTCAAAGGTTTTGTCGTATTTTAGTACATTAGATTAATTCAAGTTTATACAAATTTACTATAACAAAGGATTGTAAATCATTTTGCAACCAAGTTTTTAGAAAGGGTTAAATTTTATTGTAACTAAAGATAATCAGAAAATAAAAAATTCTTTCAAAATACTTGTGCTTGCATACACACATCAAAGTGATCCTCACAACAGTGACTTATTGTTCATTGTTCTCAGTTTTTTTCCTGGATAACTTACAGCATTACACCAAAATTTTCTTTTTAACGGGTTGGTTGGGACGACTAAAAAAATCTTTGATTGATTCTTATTCACTGTAGTATTTGTACATCCTGGCACAAAACAGTACCAGTTAGAATTAGAATTAACTTCTTTTCGTTCATTTTCTTATTATTTGTTAGTTGTCAGTTGTACGTATAACCTTATTTATACCTTGTATCAAATCATCCAGATAAACAAGCGGACGACACAGCTAGTGTCTGCTTTCTATAGTAGTTTATTCGATTTTAAAGATGATCATTACATAACGAACGAACCCACATAATTGATTGTAATAATTACGTGATGATCACGTGACATTAATTTAAATTAGGTAAGGAATTTCAATAAATTATTTTATATATTTCAAAGTCTTAAAAAAACCTGTCTGGTAAGTTTACTCGGGGCATTTTCAGCTATTGAAAAAAAAAATAAATCAGGAAACATGCAAGTTTCTCTAATAAAGGTGGGCCCTGTGACTCAGGTTTTAGTTCCAGTTATTGCCACACGATGCTTTTTATATGATAAAATGGCGCTAAATTTTTACACTTTTTATTCGAACACGTGAAATGATTACGGTTTTAGTTTCAACTTTAGTTATTTCTTTCACATTTTTAATTAACATTATTTCAATTAAAAGATAAAAAATATCTTTACGATGTATTAAGATTGTTCGGGCATTAGGTAGCGTAACAAACGCGGCACCATATACATATTTTTGTTTTAATAAGTAGGGTTGCTCTCTTGAAAATTATTTACTTCAGTCATATTGCCGAATATAAGTATTGTTATTATTTTAAAAGTTAAAAGATACTCAAAAGATAAAAAATTAGACTTCCATGTACACGCGTATGCACAGAAGACGGCAGATCATTTTTTTCTCGATTTTTTCTAAATCTTAGTCCTTAACACATTATTTTCACAGTATTGATAGGCTTTTTATAAGACTCAGTCTGTATAGAAATGTTATTGTTGAGGCTTATCACGCACTTCCAGAATTATAGTTAATTTCTCGACTATCCCCATAAGTCTATGTGTTGAATTAGTCATTTTTCAGAAGCAGTTTTCTCGAAAATTATATCGATTACCTTAGCATTTCTTGATTGAAAATGAATTTGAATTATTTTATCATCGTAATCTTCGAGTTTTATAGACATTTGTCAAGTAGTTTTGAAGTGCCTTAGCCACCTCAAAAAAATAAAAAATACTTTTCTGATAGATTGTAGTTCTCTGTTCTCGCTTTGCTGAAAACAACGAGAGTGTCGCGGAAGATGTGAAAACATACTCGAGGCACGACTTATATTTTATGCATAATTATTTGCTTATAATCTAATCTTGAAAGTAGTGCTGTAACAATACTAGTGGGAGTGGCTTGAAAGAGAATAGTTAATAATTATATAAATTATGATTGGATTTTCAAGGCGAAAAAACTGTGATCCATGAAATATCGTATTTACTGATTGATAAATACAAAAAAATAGTTGAGTGAAGTTGTGAAAAGTAATAAAAATTATATTTTCTGTGTACATTGTTACCAGATTATAAAGATACATTAAAACAAAACAAAATAATCGTATTATACTAACAAGCTGATTCATCACTAAGAATCTAACTCATTGGTTCTTACAACCGTAACAATCGATTGTGACCGTACACGTGCACAAATTGAAAGGTTGTGCGTATATTAAGCACTATGTACAGTTATACTTAAACCTATATGTCGAGTTTCGACTCTGTCGACTGCTGCACTGGACTACACGTGCGCACGTATATACATGCATACACACACTTATTGCTCTCTTTCTCTCGGTGAGTTGCATGTTGGTTGCGTTCTTTTTTGTTTGGTCCTTGTACTGCTGCTCTGTGCTTTTGGGCATATTTGTTTCAGGTTCGTTGCATGCTCCTCTACTGCAACTCCAGTCGAGAGTGTTATCTCCAAGGGAGAATGCACCTGTTTGGCTTCTGGAGGACCTATACTTGTTCTAGCCACAAAATTTAAGAGAGCGTCGATCAAGGCGTTAGTGCAGACGACAGTAGTCCGTCAGGTGACGGTAAACTTCAATGTGTTACAACCTATCGACTCAGAATTATGGCATCTGATGTCGAGGAAGAAAGCTTTGAGAGCCCTAATGATATTTTGCTGACGGTTGGGGATGTGAAATTGCTTGGGGTATACTACATACCAGGATGGCGACTTGCCGTGATATGCTGCTAGCCCAGCTTTCCACTGATGTATTAAGTATTCTTGAAAGTGCATATTTCAGTAAATTAGCCTTGGACAGCGTTGTTAACTCGCGCTCTAAAGCACTTTAGAACAGTGCTACAAATGCTTCAGATTTAGACATGTTGCGGCTGACTGCAAGGGTAAGATCTGCTGTGCATACTGTGCAGGAAACCATCAGTCTAAAGCTTGTCAAAATAAGAGTTTACTATACTGTGTTAATTATCGTGACAGAAAACACTCTATAATGAAACTGAGGCCCATGATGAAACTGGCAGGTCAAAGTGTGTGGTTTTAAAGAAAAAAATTGAGCGTAAGGTATCTGTAATCAATTACAGTTATGAATAGTATTCTAATTCTGCATGTGAATGCGCAATCATTAATGAGACACTTCTATGATGTGCAAAAATTAATTTCCAATAAAAAACCATACATCTTTGGAATTAGCGGCTCGTTTCCTAAGTCAGATAATCTCTCAAATTTAGTTGATATACAGGACTACACACTGTCTTGTTGCAAGCCTGTAAAGGCCAAACTTTTTTCCCATTCTGGGCAAGACCAAGCACATGTGAAGAGACCCGAGAGTTTGCTTGTTAAGATACAGATTGGCTCGTCTAAGTATTTGTCTGTTATGGTCTACACCCCCCCCCCCCTTAAGGCAGGTTTCTGGTCTGAGGTTGAGTCAGCTGTATTGAACTGCAACGCTCCTTATAATTATCTTATTTTGATGGGCGACCTAAGCTTGGACTGGCATGTTAAGTCTACCAGTGTAACTATTCTCCAAGAATCTCTTCAGATACTAGGACTTCAGCCAGTCCCATGTCTTCCCACACATCACAGTACCTACTCAAGTTGAACTATAGATTTATTTGCCTGTCCGAATTTTCTGATATTGATGAGTTGTTTCAAGTAGGAATCCCTTCGATTTCAAATCATGATGCAATATTTGTCAGGTTGAAGCATTCTGTACCTTTTTGTGACAACTTAGTTATTTCACGTCGTAAGTTTAACTTATTTGACCAGCTGGAATTTTGGAAGGATTTATGTGCAGCCCTCCATGTGGATTCTAGACTGCATATGTACGTTGATTCGAAGGTATTTGCTTTAAACTTCTGTAGTCACAGGTCTGTACGATAAGCATGATCCTTTTGAATCAGTAGTAAGGAGGCACAGGACTTTACCCTGGCTGACACAGCATTTTCAATCAATAATTAGAGGTCGCAATAAGACTTGGCTAGAGTATAAATTCTCTCCAAGTTTAACTCATGCAGCTTCTAAGGTGATTTGTAACAGAGTTCAAGTTGAACTAAAGAATGCGCGTTATACATATTACCATCTTAGTATATGCGAATGTAAGAATATCTCACAAAAATGGAAGAGTATTAACGCCATGGGTCTTACGAATAAAGCTGACACTTAACCGATATATGCTTCGTTTGATTTGGATATTGCGAATAGGTACTTTTTTGGAAATTAATCTGATATGCCATTGCATGACCTGCAACATAGAACACAACCTAGAATTGATTCAGATGAGATTTTAGATTTGTCATGTTACAGTAGAAGATGTTCATAATGCTGTATTGGCTGCACGCTCAAATACAATCGGTTCAGATGGAATATCTTTAA